GGGGGGGGGGAATTAAAAAAAAAAAATCACCTGGATAACCTTCACTTTCGCATCATAAAATCAACTATGGTCAGATTCCCCCAGAAAGATACATGCATCCCCACCAGCACCGATGGATGAATCCGGCATTGCTTGCCTCAAGAGATATTGCCTAAGTTGTAAGCAAGAACTTGGAAAAAAAAGCGCAATCGAGATATCAATAGAATTTTTTACCTAAGAGCAGCTCACCAAAGACACTCCAAGGAATTTGTCTCGGTAGTAACATGGGGCAAGGTTCCTCCTGCCTTGTCTCTACCAGGTTTTACGCAGGCAGAGCAGATGCTGCAGGCAGAGCACAGTGGCAAACAACCCGTGCTGGCAACAGAAGTGCTGGCGCTCGTTTAATTCTCTATATCTCACCTGCTGCAGCTGCTCCGTCTTCGTAGCATATGACCATCCTGGCAAGTACTTTCTAGCAGAAACAAAACATTTTTCCTGTTTCCCAGGGCATTTCTGCAGCACCTCGTGTTGCTGGCATCTTCTCCCCAAAGCCTTCCCTATCTGAAAGAGCATGGGTGTCTCCCCACCCCATTTTGGGTCCGGACATGGTTTTTGAGGTTTATTTTACATGCAGGGAAGGCAAAAGCCCTTTGCAAGCGCTGGGCTATTCGTTAAGTGTGGCAGGCAGGGCAGGTCCGCAGGAAGATTTCTTTCAGGCTGTTGAGCCATAGGCTGCATTTCTGGCAACTCTTCCCTCTAGGGACAGACTTTGTCAGTTCCGACTGAAAAAAAAAAAATGTATAGGGGCTTTATGAGTCAAAATTTTGCTGTGTTCTCACTGACCTATATGTGAGTAGCCCATACAGGAAATAACCGGAGGTTCATTTGTTAAACGGCTGTCCTGGTTTCAGCTGGGAAGCTTTTCTAACTCTACATTTTGTATCACAGCTTCACAAATAAACAGGAATGATTTGGCTGCATTTTATTTCTTGGCAACACGTTAAATTGGTGATGAAATAGGTCAAAAGCACTTTACCAGAAACCTTTATTCATTTTAGAAAAGTACCTTTGATGGAGACATGCACAGGCAGAAAATCATATCCTATTGTATTTCTTGTCAAAAATAAAATACACTGGAAAAATAGTACTTACATGTCAAACAGTGAGGTGATAGATATTCAGCAGTTACGTAAGTTTGTTTCAAATGACATTTGCATAAGCCCTATTTAAAGCAGCAGCCATTAGATACCTAAATACCGAGGAGAACCTCCTCTCCATCACGGAGCTGCTGTAGCCGGGGTGCTGCTCCTCGTCTGCTGATGGGCAGAGGCGAGGTTTGGGGAACCGGCTGCTGATGCTGACGGTCCTTTTGCAGGTTCGAAGGCAGCTGCTCTCACACCGCTGTCTGAGACCCCCCCACGCTTGCTCGCATCGATCAGCGTGTTCCTTACGGGGCTGTCAGCGGTTCCTCTGAGCCCTTCGGTCAGTGTTTCCCGATGGGCTTCCGTACAGTTTGTATTATTTGCAAAAACCCTGTGGCCTTAAGGCAGTGAATTCCACCTTGAGAAGTAAATTCAAAATTCGGTACAACGAAAAATAGTCTACCTAACTCCTCATATCCCAGTGATGCCCATGTCGTTACTTCCACGCACCCTGAACCGCCCTCCTCACCCCCCCAGGCTGAAAGCACGGTGAGTAGATTTTACCCTCACGCCTTTTAACGAACAACATTAGCCCAATTTTCTGAAAAGGGCATTAAAGCACTTGGTGTTTTAACCCGTCGCTCAAACTACGCTGTCTCAGAGCAAGGGGTGCGGATCCGTTCACCTCCCTCCGGGTTAAGCTCTTCCTTGGGCTGTGGGCTGGTGCAGGCAGCTCTGAGCATCGTTTCTGTTTCTCTGCTGTGCCGCCGGAGTGCTCAGCACAATAACCCGAGATAAGCGTAATATGGGAAATAAGTAACCTCTGGCTGACACTCCAGCCTCCGGAGAGCTCAGCTGATGGGAGCCTGAACCCGGGAAACACAGGCTCTGCTTCCAAAGCCCCGCTTCTGCATCCCTCCCATCATTAACCACCAGCGAACTTGTGCCAGTGGCCGAGGCAACACCTACACCCGCAGCGGGATTTGTACCTGCACGTGAACTCTTACACCCGTTCCTGGGCCCGCACACGTGCAGAAGCTTCCAGAAAAATCCTCCAGATGATCCAGATGGAGATATATCCAGCAGATGCAGTTGCAGGAGTTGGCACGTCTTGGGAACACCTGGCGCGATTTACACTATTTTACACTATTTGCTGCCAG